TAGAGTTAGCATGATAAAATTATTTCCGGTTATCTTATCTCTTAAACCGGAATTGAGTGTATATATGTATTGTAACAAACTTTGTTCTCATTAACTCAAAATAACAATTTCATAACAAACTTCAAGTTTTCTCTCTCATCTCTCTACATCGTCTTCTGTATTTCATATTCTGAGTTCTAATATTTACAACTAGCCTACAATGATTTTTAGGAAGAAAATAGTCGAAAACTATATATTATTATTAGGACCGCAAACCCAATCTTGTTTTGCTTGCTTGAGTTCTAGGTCGGCACAATCACACGAATATTATTCTAATTCTATAATATTATTGGATTGGCACCAACAGAATGGTCTGCTTTTCGGACATATGTCGAAGACTTTTAACAGAGTAAAGATTTATCAATAGAGTTCTCAATTTCTCTCATCCCGCATATACAACTACAAAGTGGATAAACTAGCAAAAGAGTGTACGAATTCTTAAACTAGCAAAAGAGTGTACGGTTCGAATTTCTAAACTGGCTTGGGGTTTTTATTAAACTATTTAGAAAACAAATATTGGTTGGTTCAAACATTTTTTTTTTTGAAAACCAGAGGTAATCCGGATTTTTACCACCCGACTAATCTCCAGAGTGAGTATAGCCGTCGAGTAATACATTCATCAAGTTTTCTAATATGCCTAAAACATGACACCATTTCGACTGGTCAAATGAAAATGGTTCAAACGTGTTAATTATACATTAAACAAAATAGCACGTTAGTTGTTTCTCAACAAAAAAAAAAAAATAGCACGTTAGATTAAAATTTACCGATAAGTAAAATTGAATATCGTCGGAAATACCCTTTTTTCAAAAAAAAAAAAAATATATCGTCGGAAATTCTACGTTATTTTCATTTGAGCGAGCGACATCATTATCATGCATTTGACTATTGTACATGGCATCTACGTAGTTAGTTCAAGTTTTAATACGGTACCCTTCGTAGTAATTGTCTTATGCAAGAAGAACCGTAACAGTCAATTATATTTTTAACTACAATAAATATCTTGACACAAAAAGAGAAGCGTTTAAGAGAGACACGAGGCTATGATGTCCGGA